CCCCATCTTCTCCCAGAGTGAGCTTTTTAGCTGCAGCCTCAGCTGTTCCTGGGCAGATTTTGTTGGTTTAGGACTCTGCAAGAAAAGTGGGCTCCTGGGCCAGGAGCTCAGCAGGAGTTTTCTCCCATCAAAGAAAATGTAAATTAGTGTGGAAGGTGCTGAGGTTAAAAAATCTGGGGCCCTGCTGTTAGCATTTGTGCCCCTTGTCTTCCCTCTGCCTGGGGAAGCTGGGCTGGGTGTAGCGTGCAAACACAGAGGTGGGACCGCACCGCAGTAATTGATTCACACTTTTTGGCTCAGCATGCTCAAGCCATGGCCCTGAGAAGATGCGCTAATGTGGCTGTTCTTCTGTGACATTAAAGTGCTTTTACACAGCATCTGCTCCTGAGCCTGGCAGATGTCGCACACACATGCCCTTAGAGGACCCTGAGAAGGAAAGCAAGGAAGTCAGTGGTCTACAAGACATTTAAATATAAAGTTAAGCTAGGATAGAGGCAGACATGCCATCCCAGTCCTGGTGTCTAGTCCTTCCTGTCAGGCCTCTGAGGACAGGACAGCTTGTTCAGCTCTTGCCCTCTCCTCTAGGCCCCCATCCTGGTGAGGCGTTTTTGTACCCTGGACTCTTGTGATTTTGGACTGCAGGTGCACACTGTCCCCTGCCCTCCATCTCAGCTCTGCCTTCTCTAAACCGTGGCCAGCTCCCCTTTAATAGCATGTGGCCTGGGAGCTGAGAAAGTTGGGCTCACTCTTGCCCTGTTCAAGACTCATGTAGTCTGCTCTTAAATTTGGCTTGCCTCTCCAGCCGGTGTGGCTCAATGTTTGAGCATCAACCCATGACCCAGGAGGTCACAGTTCAATTCCCCGTCAGGGCACATGCCCTGGTTTGGGGCTCGATCTCCAGTAGGGGGCGTGGCAGTGGGCAGCCGATCAATGACCCTCTCTCATCAATGATGTTCCTATCTCTCCTTTCCTTTTTCTGAAATCAGTAAAAACATATTTTTAAATATTGGCCTGCCTCACAGGGAAGCTGGATTGAATCAGGTGGGGCCTAATGAGTGTGTGTTGCGGGGGGCTTTCTGCATGTTAGCCCATCTGGTCAGGATGCACCCGGCCAGCGTCCCTGGGATTGACCCCATGATTGGTTCAAATAAAACCACTTCTGCCCCAGGGTATTGATTATGAGGCAGAAAATGCAATGAACCTTGACTACTTTAGGTCACTGGCCCAAGCCTGCTTACTGCCCGCTGCCTCAGTCCCTTCCCTGAAGAATGGACAGGCCATGGAGAACCAGAACCAGGTGCCCAGGGAGGAGCGAGAATATGAACTCTCCCAGCCTCAGTTACGGAATGATTCTGAGGGGCTCACGAACTGTCCTGTACACCATACAGGGAGAGGAAATGGGTCGACTTATATGCACTTTCATAGTTGTCTTATATGCGCTATTATTTTCATATGTGGGTACTATTGTGGTTCATAAAATACAAATTTATTTTCTAATGGGTGCTTAAGTTATTTTGACTCAACAATGACTTTGGGAAGAGAATAATCTCAGAGGCTTAGCTGGATTTGGGTGCTCTGCCTCAGCTTGCTTGTCTTGAAGATAAACATCCTCAGGCCTAGAGCCCTGACATTGTGACTAAACAGTAATCACCTGTCAACACTAGTGCCTGTTTCTCCAGAGTAATCAATGGCACAGCATTCGGCACACAGCACAGGGGTTAGCCACAGCGCGAGGGCCACGACAGGCAAAGGGAAGAGAAAATACAATTCACTTGACTTTGCCATCCAACAAAGAAAAGACTGGCTGCCACAGAATATTCCAGAAAGCCTTAGACTTAGGACAGGGAGACTACAGACAGGAAATTCTAGGATACTGCCAGCATCTGGAAGTGCAAGGGGACCCACAAGCCAGGAAGTTTAAAATTCCTAGACTCTTGCTCCTGCTTGTCCTGGGAGCCCAGCATGGTGGTTCAGCTGAATGTCACT